CCCCCCCCCCACCTTCCGGAAAATTGACGAATTTTCGGAAAATTTGATCTAAAAGAGGGCTAAAAACAGTCTTTTCGAGTGCAAATGGGAGGGGGGGTATCTCGGAAATTTGTGAAATTCCGCCACTGTGCGAGCATGCTGTAAGGCTGCATTCCAGTTACGCTTTTTTCACAGGTGCGTACACGCACGTAAAAGTTGAAATAGCCGATTACATCCTACTTATGAAATAACTATATTTATAAAAGGACAGCATTCAGTTTTGCGTATGGTTCAATGTGTATCTGTTAAGGTTATTTGCACTAATATGACAGATTTAAACTTTTCTGTTGCACGTGTGAAAAAACACGTAACTGAAAAACACCCTTATAGGCACAATGCTTGCGGTAAATCGTATCCGTACAACAAAATGCCGTAGACGGACGTACTTCTTTGGAAACTTGGAAATCAACAGTCTGTTCCATTTTTGAACGTACTTTTTTATTAAAAAATTTACCGGTCACGCATGTCCGCCAGGCGACGATATTTGCCGGTCGAACTGAAATTTTACTGGTCATTGACCGGTGACTGGCAGTTATTTCGAGGCCTGCCCATGACCATGTGACCATGTATACTATTCGAAATAATAGCCCACGCATATGACATATTGAATTGCATGGGTATTATTCCGAATAGTCATACGGACCATTATGGTACCGTTTGGAATAAATATCAGACTTGTCACCAAAACGCGTGTAGCTAACTACACAATTTTATTGATATACAGTTGAATATCACTATAAATCTACAAGATTGCTTAATAGTTTTTATAATGGTAATGTTAAACTTCTTTAGTTTAATTAATACCTGTATTGCACTTAAAAACACTTAAAATCTATACAACTGTATAGCTTACTGTTTTGTATAAGTTTTGCCTAAAGCAGTTCACTGCGACCACCAAGTATTTCATGAAATCATGTTAACATAATGTACACTGGCAATATGGCCTCTTTCCTTACTTCTGTAAAAGCGAGTGTTTTTATGTATAGTGCAATGTGTATGTTGTACTGAAAATGGAAACATCGTGGCTACACATAAATTATAAAGTACCATTAGTACGTTTATTTCATGTTGTTCATATCAAATGGAATGCGCCGTCCAACTGATTTCTAGGTAAACTGAGGCCGGCATTTCTGAAAGGTGTATAAAATGAAGAACGTCGTCGAACAGCCACGATGCACCCATAGCCTACATGTCAAAAGGTATGTCAATTTTCTTGCTTACAAAAAATCTGTACCGTGAAGGTTACATGTCTCTTCTAAGGCACGGGCTAAGCGTACTTTGTGGTCGCTGCAGTTGCATGGCTTCCTGTTTTCCTTACTAAAAAAATTGGTATAAAACCAAATGGCAAGAGACAGCATTTTTGTGGTTGCCATTCTTAACACTAACAATTAAAGGAAAACAGTTAAACTCTCCACTTTGACTTTATTACATTTTATTTCTCTTCGACGAGGTAAATATTACTCTAACTTTGCATTGCAGGTCCAATGCAAAGCCCAGGATAGTGGGGTGCGATAATTCAAGACTGTCAGTCGTACCTGACTGCAGGTACGTCAATAGTTGTTACCGCGTACTTGCGCTAGAACAAACTCAGTACTCAATGTGTACTTACAGTAGTCTTTAAAATAAGGTTCATAAAGTACATGTTTCTGAAAAGTGTGTTCAGACTACGAGGTAGAAAAAGAAGCGCAATTGCAATATACAAATAATCGACTGCAACGTTTCTTAGTGCTATCAGTCTAATCATGTTTCATGCCAAGACATCTCAGACACATGATATACCAACTAAATTACGTACGGTATTGAATACCTTGGCTTGGAAAGGTCATGTGGTACCAGCAAAAAGCAAGTACCCAGATAGCAAGAGTTCCGCGTACCTACGTGGTACATGGCTGAAAACAAAGAAGTACTAGACCGTAATATTGGCGTATCTCCGGTACATAAGTACGCGAATTATCGCATCCTGGCAAAGCCAAAAAAAAACAACCTAAGATACTAATTTGTTCATTAAATTGTTACCAATTAATTGCATCTCTTGCTCGCCTAAATTTCCGTCCATAGTTGCATGATAGTACCAAATGTTCGTAACACTTCTACCAGTTTCCTTCATTGGTACTCTGAAGTAATGAAAATAATTTAAGAATTCATTAACTTATGGTTATTCATTAACTTAAAATGTTTATCTCCAGGTGTTTTCCGTGGAATGCATGATATCGCCTAACCTCGTACCCAGGGTCTTTCCTCTTGTGGAGAAAAGACCCTGGTAGACGCTGGTCACGTGATCTTCTAAAATCTAGCAGATTTCTAATTAACTATCTTGGATTCCTTTACAAAAATCATACAAAAAGCAAATTATAAATTAAACTATAAAAATTATCCAAATATCAAATATTTATTGACCTCATCTTCGATTGCTAATTAAAAATCTTCTAGATTTTAGCAGATCACGTGACCAGCATCTACCAGGGTCTTTTCTCCCCTCGCCAAGAGGAAAGACACTGAGTACGAGGTTGGATATAGCCACTTGAAACATGAAAAATGTGAAAGTTAAGTGCTCATTTGGGGAGTTGAGTTACTTGAGTTACATTTATCATGATTTATAGACCCGGAGCGTGGGAAATTCGACGAAATATTACCTGAAACAGTGATGATATTTCCCAAGGGCATTGCCCATCGCGCAGTATTCGGATTTATCGGACACTTTCTCATCAACGCGATATATAGCGCTCATCATGTTTTTATGAATTGCTTAATTGACTATACAAGCAACTTCCAATTCCTGTAAAAGTTTAGTATCCTGACAAATTTTCACATTTCGTTAAAAAGCGTTCATTAATTAAAGAATTGCCTTCGAGAATTATCATGAATTTATAGTTAAAGTAAATGTATAATTCAATTAACTTACAAACTCCGAATTGATTCCTGGAATTTTCTTATATATTCTCTCGACGTAAGGCATTTCCACCATCACGCCGTCTGAATGTGTAGACCTTGAGCCGATGTTTTCATTTTTGGTTTGTTGTGCGGTTCTGCGCCGACCACTTTGTCTGGTATGCGAAAATGACGTTGGTTGAACAGAATGCGAACAATATCCTGAATCATCGTTGAAATGCAAGTAAGTGCTGCTGAAAGATTGCTGTTCGTTGTCAATCGGATCTTCAGAACGTAAGTTCTTCCACAGAGATCCTTCGTAATTTGTAGAGATGTTTTCATCTTGAACATCCTGATGACGTGTTGTTGGAATTTGCAATCCCCCTTCCGTTTCGGAACGACAATTACAAGATTCGCACGAATGTTGTTTCTGAATTTTTTTGGACACATCAAAGTCACTGTAAGAAACCATCTTGTTTCTTTTCGGTGAGGAATAAATTGGCTCGCGATCGCTTGAAAACTGGATACTTTTTTGTGTCTGGACGTGTGATATTGGCATTTCTGAGTAACTTTGACCAGAGCGCTCTGCATTTGCGTGTGGTAATTGCCCGAAACAAATTTCTTTAGGGTGTTCTGCGCGAAATTGTAAGCATTTCGTGTTGGTGCAGAAAACCGGATGTTGTTTCTCGACATTTTGTATCAATGGAAATCCCTTTTCGTTGATGCATTGGACTAACTATACAAGAATGAAAAGTTATAAAGTCAGTATACAACAGGAATATCTCATATGTTTGTATTAGGTGCAATTATATGTGCATTTCAATTTTCTACAACAAAAACGTACAAAATTCATGCTGATGACCTGAGTTGATAGCTTAATCAGATAATTTTGTGGTGTTTTCCAAAAACAATAAATTAGAACATAAAGTTTGGGATTGCTTGTGAATTAAAAGTGGAAGGAAAAAGTACATGAACGTTTATACGTTGTTGTAAGAGGCTGCAAAAATGTACATATAACTATCGGTTTTTCAGCACACTAGTATTAGGAATTTTTATATGCATTATGTACATATACATTCGAAATTTTGTTATTAAGAAACCTGGTAACAAGTTACAACCATCAATTTATATTATCGAAGTTAACAAACTATTTATTACCTGATGTGACTCTTGTTTCACTGGGTGCATCTGGAGATCTAATTGCTGTTGGTGATCGTATTTGAATTGAGGGCATGGTTGTGGAAAAGTACCATTCGAAGAGGTATTAACTTGTTGGCACATGCCAGGTAACGGCCATGCTGGATATACCAATTTTTTCCCTTCTAACTCATTCTCAGGCATGTCAGCCTGGCCATATGGTATAATCGTATCGTATTCTTCATTCTGACAAGTTTCGTTGGTTTGTTCGACACGTTTATCAGTTCTATCATATTGGCTTTCTTCGTGATCAATGTTAACAAACGATTTTATTACCTGATGTGACTCTTGTTTCACTGGATGCATCTGGAGGTCTAATTGCTGTTGGTGATCGTGTTTGAATTGAGGGCATGGTTGTGGAAAAGTACCATTTGAAGAAGTATTAACTTGTTGGCACATGCCAGGTAACGGCCATGCTGGATATACTATATTTTTTCCATCTAATTCTTTCTCGGGCATGTCCTGGCCATATGGTATAATTGTATCGTATTCTTCATTCTGACCAGTTTCGTTGGTTTGTTCGACACGTTTATCAGTTCTATCATATTGGCTTTCTTCGTGATCAATGTTAACAAACGATTTTCTTACCTGATGTGACTCTTGTTTCACTGGATGCATCTGGAGGTCTAATTGCTGTTGGTAGTCGTGTTTGAATTGAGGGCACGGTTGTGGAAAAGTACCATTCGAAGAAGTATTAACTTGTTGGCACATACCAGGTAATGGCCATGCTGGATATACCAATTTTTTCCCTTCTAACTCATTCTCAGCCATGTCGTCCTCGCCATATGGTATAATCGTATCGTATTCTTCATTCTGACCAGTTTCGTTGGTTTGTTCGACATGTTTATCAGTTCTATCATATTGGCTTTCTTCGTGATCAGTGTTTCTTTTCTTGGTATCAGATTCAGTGTTCTCTTCAAACTTCTTCCGACGTTCTGCTATATGTGTATTCTTTGCACCTTTTGGTTCTAATGGAGCTTTCCTTGCCTTTGATGATTTTGGTGGTACATCAGGTTTTTTTAGGACACGTGGCTTTACTTCAGTTTTATTTGCACTTTTAGTTTCAAAACTTGTTTTGTCCATAACTGTTTGTACTTTTTTAGGAGAACCAGCCATTGAACTTTCTCCTTGGTTTAGGGTTTCCTCTTCTTTGCTATTAACTTTCTTGTTGTTGCCTATTTTCTTGTATTTTTTGTTGTTGGGATTGTTTCCTTTGATATTTTCTTTAGTTTTACTGTTTTTATTTACGTTGCCATCATCATCATCATCACCGGAGCTGCTACCGTCGTTGTGCTTGCTTTCATCATTTGAAATAGTGTTGTCATTGTCGTCGTCGTCCTGGTCACTGGTTTGTTTGTTTTTGTTAATTTTGTTGTTGATTATGATTTCTCGAAGCGTCCCTTTCATTTCATCTAACGATAACTTCATGTTTCTCACATCAATAACAATTTCTTCTTGAAATCTGCGCACTTTACTGACATCCATTCTCACAAAATCCAAGTCAGACTTCTTGCCCTTTCGAAATTTCTTGCCAAACTTTTCAGTTAGGGTATTTGCTATTTAGGCCTTTCCCCTTATAGCACTAGGCGCGCTAAGCATGACGGTAGGAGTATGCAATTTGCTTTCGAACGAAATGGCTGCCGTATGAGCGATCGATTTCGTGCGAGAGAAGAATCGGCGGATTTTTAACAACATTAAGTGTCCATCAATGTCTGTTTTCTTCGCAAAATTACGAGGAGGTTTGTCACTACAAGTGGACGAAATTTCGTGGCGATCTGGGCGTTAATGGTGATAAAAATCCGTTGAGAAGACGACAAGTTGTGAACATGCTTCGCGTAAATTTGCTCGCGAAAAATTGACCACACGAACTAAAACAGGTGAGTTCGCTTTTCAACTTGCGATCGGCTAATTTTTTTTACAAAATAAGCTTAACTGATAGTGTGTCTTATTTGATCTCTGGGACATTTTACTACAATACTTGTACAAAAGTCGTTTTAAGCTTCCTGAAATTGACATATGTCGTAACCATTTTGTTCAAATTTGCCATTGAAGTGCCGTGGCCTTGCCAAATGTTTTGAATTTGTTTTGGCGCGAAAATATACTGAATTTGAATGAGCAACACAAGCTATAGTGACAAAATATAAAGTTGAAAGTGTTTTTCTTGGTTTACTGCTGTTATTTGTCCTCTAGTTGAAGTTTGCTTTGGTTTTCATCCTCCATTGTAATTTAATAAATTGTTCGTGGGTTATAGAATAATATTTAGGTAAATAAATTTCAATTTTTGAACTTATAGCATAGGAAATAAACATTTAGATAGCATATTTTAGGTAAATTCATAAACATTTAGATAGGATATTTTAGGTAAATTCATTTAAATTCAGTTTAAAATTAAATAGATAAATATATTGTAAATTTTTGTAGTCAGAGTATAAATTAAAGTGTCTAGGTGTATATAAATTTTTAAACTATATAATATGGAGAGTGAACCAAGCACTTCGCATGAGACGAATAGTAGTGAATTACCAGTAACAATAAGATGGACAAGGGATTTACATGGCATTCCAGCATTTACATATGAGCTGTTAATCAAGCATTTGGGGACTGAAAATTCTGGTACAGGTGCTCAGAAACACAAGAAATTGGGTTATCAAATGTTCAAAGACAAATATGTTGGTCAAGTCCAGGTTAAACCAAATATCACTAAAGGGAACATGTCCTGCTTCTTAGTTAAAGGCACTGTTAATGCTGCAATGAAAAGCAACACATACACTGTTTATGTCCATTTAAATGAAGCAAATGGGGAGGTTGTGTATAGCAACTGTATGTGTATAGCAGGCAAAGGTGGTAAATGTAAACATGTTGTTGCTCTGCTCTTTCAAGTTATTGAATACAAACAATTAGACATGACCGAGATTCCAGATCACCCGACCTGTACACAGCTATTACAGCAATGGCACGTACCGAGAAAAGATGAGTCAGATGAAGCTGTTCTTTATGAGAACATTGTGTTTGAAAAGGCTGTGTATGAGAAAGATGTTCAGGCTAAAAAGAGAAAACACAGACAGTCACTCCCCATATATAACCCTACTCCACATTTTTCACAAACAGTACAGCAAAATGATGTTCAAAAGCTTGCCAATTCATTGACTGAAACAGATAAAAATAGCTACTTGGGCAACTTACTAAAGTCAAATAATTGTCAGCCATGCCCTTTTGAGACCATGCACCTAGATTTACCATCAAAGAAGCTACACTCTGAGTCAATGCATCTCAATATAAATAATTCTAGTGTTCGGGATAAAATATTTGAAAGATTACCTTCCACTACAGCTAAAGAATATGTAACAAATTGTGATGCTATCAATAGCTTAAGCTCCTTAGTTAAAATTACACATGCAGAAGTGCTTCAAATTGAGCAAAACACTAGAGAACAGTCCTCAAGTGATACCTGGTTTGATGAACGGCAAAAAAGGCTCACATCTTCAAATTTTGGAGCGGTTGTTAAGCGTAGAAAACAAATATACCCTAAGTCAATATTAACAACTATTCGCAAATCAAAGCAGTCCACCTGTCCCAAACCTTGTCAGTGGGGAAAAGATAAGGAAGTGAAAGCCATTCAAGAGTACTACAAATTGAAAAGAAAACATGGGAACAATTTTGACATTTGTGCAAGTTGTGGGTTTGTTGTGAATTTGAAGTTTCCATGGTTAGGTGCTAGCCCTGATTTTTTAGTGTTTGACAGCACAGAAGCAACATCACTTGGCATCGGAGAAGTCAAATGCCCATTCTCAAAAAAGAACTTAACCATTGATGATGCTTGCAGTGATAAAAAATTCTTTTTAGAAAAATTGAATGGAAAGGTCACATTAAAGAAAAGCAACAATTATTTTTATCAAATTCAAGGGTGTATGGCCACACTTGATGTTACCTGGTGTGATTTTGTTGTTTTCACCAATATTGACTTGCATGTTGAGAGGATTTACTTTGATAATGAATTCTGGCAAAAAGTTGTTCCAGAGCTAAGCAGTTTTTACTCTGAATACATGTTACCAGAATTGTAATATAGAATAAACAATATAATTATGTTAACAAGGTGCAATTACGATTTACTGAAAGTCACCTATAACTCAACAGTTTAAACTTGTTTTTCCTTAATGATAGGTGGTAAAAATAGTGTTAAATAGGAGCAAACACTCCAAATGTGTTCTAAGTTCTCAGCCAATGTCAGGGGAACTACCTGATGCAAAATTCTATAAGTTTTTATTCTTGCAATTGCACGCTCAACATGTACACGGACTGAGGCAATTTTTCGTGTTTTCACCTCATCCTCTGCTGATAGCTGAGGCTGTCCATTTAAAAAGGGTGGAATGTTTAACGACACTCCATTTGGCATGTCAGCCTCAATATCGAATCCCCTGTCTGCCATCAATTCATCTCCTGGTTCAAGAAGCTTTAGTAT